CATTTAAGGACCACCCTTATGTACTTACATACATATGTTAAAGCACTTGACTATATTTTCATGATCATTGTTTAACGCCATTTCAGACTCTGCACCAAAGCCGAACCATGGAAGGCTGCTCGGCACCATTGGTTGTTAAATTCGCCGACACACAAAAAGAGAAAGACCAAAAGAAAATACAACAGATGCAAGCGAGTATTGTTGGGATAACCGCACTGACGTCGCCAACTACAGGAGCCATCGCCGGTCTAGCTTCCGCGCATCCCAATGGTTTTCTCCCGACTACTGCTGCCGCTTTAGTGCCCAATCCCATATCTGTGACGAATGCGCGAACCAATTGTTCTATGCCATTATCAATGGCGACTGTGGCTGTCGCCAACCCTGCCTCTGCATTAGTGCCTTCTTCCGCAGCGATCTCAGTGCCACCATCGCTACTAACTACTGACAGCCGTCAGCAAACGTCGCCATACCTGACCACCGCAGAGGCCATGAATGTGTCACCTGCACAGTTGCATATATTCCAACAGCTTCAGGCATTCGGATTACATCCTACTCAGTATTTACAAGGTGAGTGAGAAATTAGTCTAAAAAACTGTAACTACACGGTTAAAAATTTCGGTTTTACTTTTAAACTTTTTGGACTGCATATATGACCAAACTAAATTAAGTTTCAAATACAACCTTCCAAGTTTAAAAAAAAGAGAGCACATATGTTGGGTTTAGAAGTTAAACAGTTTGGTTTAAATTTGAAACCCAAACATTTTCATAATTAAGAATAAAAAAAAATCTTAAATTTCATGCTCCGTCTGATGAGGATTGAGCTTGAACCCGGTCAGCCTGGGTAGCAACCAATTGTATCACGCATCTTTGCACACTCAGCTACAGCCACGCATGTAAATGTGTTTTCATATGTTGAGTTTTCTATTTTGGTTTAGATTTTAAACCGAATTTTCTATATATGAAACCTAGAAACTAGAATTAAAACATTTTGGTTTGATTTTTAAACCACAAACCTTTTGGACTAAAATTTATACCAGAATATATTAAAAATTCCTTAAAACTATTGACTGGTTTAAAAAGTAGACTATAAAAGATTAAAAAAGGCAGTAGTCCCAGCGCGGTCTAAAAATTAAACCCAAATTTTTGACCGTGTAGAAACAGCAAATTAACTGATTTTTCTTCAACTGCCCACTTCTTCGAGGCATAATGGGTTGAGGGTTTTCACGCAAAAGACGGAACTTTAAAGACCACGTCAGATACTTAGAACTTTGTGGCTTTACGTGGCATTTATAACTTTGCCAGAAAATCTCAAGACTCAAAAGGTATGCCACAACGAACGTCAAAGAAACAATTTTACACTGTTTGTTTACTCGTGAAAATTGCTGTGGATTTTATATATTTCGTTTTAAAGATATCAACAGTGTAATTAAAAGTTGTATTTCTGCATGAAGGCTTGAATTTTAACGAAATGAAATAAAAAGTAAACCAGCTGATTGCCAACGCGCGCAAACAGATTTGGGTTGCCCATCTTTGAGCTTCGCACTGCAGCTCAAACGATCTATGTGACATTCTAAATACGTGCATTTTCATACTATTCATCTTAGCTGTCAAAGCGAATCTGTCAGGAACCGCAAAGCAAAAGTTTAATCTGGCATAGCCTTAATAGCTTTGTGCACTTGTATTTATTTAAATGCATCCGCAATTTTCCCTATTATCTGATATTCCTCAAATGAAATTTTTTCAGTAATTTTAAAAACGATATTCCGCACCGTCTTTAATAGAACTCTTTGTTTTATATTTATGTATGTACCCTGTAGGGAAAACACGAACCAGTGAACCAGATTTCTAGTTCAGTACTAGTTCTTTTATGCCAAAAACGAACCAGTCCGATAGTACTAGTTCCGCACCAGTCCAAAAGCAGTGAAATGTGGTACTTTCACTAAACTATTCTATTTTAAATTTTAAAAGCAGGGAAGATAGTCATCATTATTTTACAATTTAAATCAGCATTTAATCATTATTTTATGAATAAAAAATTCAGTGCGCAGGGTGCAATGAACTTTTTCACTTAAAATGCGTTAATATTTTGCCGTCGGATGCTGAGTTCCTAGTGAACTCTGACAGACCTTTTTTCTGCAATACATGTGCAGATGTTCGACAAAAGTCGATTCGCTCACCGCCTCCCCCCACTGATCTTGTGCAAATTGCTGAGTGAGTGTATCGAAAACTCTAATGACGAAAATCAACCAATATTATGGCAAACGGTCGTAAAAGAAATTGCTGCTCTTAGAGCGGAGAACGCACACGTTGTTGCGTTGGTTAATGCACTCCGCGAAGACAATAAGCGTTTAATTTGCAAAACTGAATGCCTGCAGTCTGAACTTCACTCTTTAAAGAGTACTATTCGCTTTGAAGAGTTCGCATCTGCAATTACTACGCTCTCAGCTGAAGTGAAAGGTGTTCGCATCGACCTTCGCTCTTCTATTAACAGCAATACACCCAGTAAACAATTAGCTCCGTGCACTAATACTAACGCGGCTTCACCAGCCAACTCTACTTCAGCTCTCAAGTTACGCTCTCTACCTGCTGCTACTGCAAAACGTACTGATAAGAGCAATCGGCAGATGCGTCAGAGTATCACTGGCTCTAATGCAAATGCTCCCGGTCTACCTGCTGCTGATAGGAATGCTGCTTCATCTTCTTCATCTTAGGCCCCTGGCCTTGTTGCTGCTGATAATGATAAAACACCCACGAATTTCGCTACTAAAGTTGGCGATTTATCTTCTGCAAATGGAAGCACAGTTAGTGTACAGAACATTAATGCTGGAACTGCTAGCAGCACTTATGCCTCCATTCTTGCTCGCGATAACGCTGGTTATAATGCTAATGCTGTTCAGGATGTTGTTGGTATTGCTGCTACTGCTAAACGAACTGATGAGAACAATCGACAGAAGCTTCAGAGTATCATTGGCTCTAACGTAAACAAAGATCTCGACGTTGTTGTACGAATGAAATGGCTTCACATTTCTTCATTTCATCGTTCGGTTTCTGAGGATAAAATTTTGGATTACATCGTCAAGCATGCTAACATTGATAAACAATACTTAGTTTGTCATAGACTAATAAAAAAAGATGCGCCTCCCGATTCATATATAAGAGTCAATTTTAAAGTTGGTGTTGCCTATGCGTTTTATGATAGAGTTTCGTCATCAGACCTGTGGCCTGTGGGTGTAGAAGTACGTCCGTTTCATTTTTTAGCCAGAGAGGAAAGTACACAAGATGCAGCGTAGCTGCTACTGATAAAAAGCAACAGTTGGTCACTGGGGGGCTAACTATTTATTTTCAAAATGCCTCTGGCCTTAGAACTAAATCGCACGCTGTTAAAGCGTTCAGCTCGCAATTAGACTATGGCATATTTGTTATTATTGAGACCTGGTTAAATCCGAACTTTTATGATGCTGAATTTTTCGACCCATATTTGTTTGTCGTCTTTCGCAAGGACAGGGATGCTGAGAAAACTGGTCGCACGCGCGGAGGTGGTGTATTAATTGCTGTTCAACGCAAGTACTGTGCTTCATTAATTACTCTTGAAAATAGTGATTCTGTACTTGACCAGATCTGTGTCTGCATACGCGGCTCGTCGGCCTCCACTGAGTGTTTGTTTATAATTGCATCATAAATTCCACCCAACAGTTTGGATTGCCTTTATAGAGCTCATGCTGATAACATAGCTTCTTTTGTGCTCAATAAACTAGGTGACAATCATATTTGTATCTTAGGTGATTTTAATATTTCAAATATTAATTGGAGTCAAAGTTATTGCTCTGCTGGACTAATGCCAACTAATATGTCATCATCATTTGAAACCTTTTTTATTGATAATATATTAAGTCTAAACCTATTGCAGATAAATCGTTTTGAAAATAAGCTCGATAAAATTTTAGATCTTATATTTATCAACGAAAATGTCAATTTTTTTCTGTCTAAATGTCATGCACCAATTTCTCCCACGGATATGCACCATGTGGCTCTTGTTCTTAAGGTTGAATTTTATGAATTTGGTGAATCTGTCATAGGGCGGGAAATCGCTTTTAACTATGCGCGTTGTAATTTTTATACCTTAAATCAACTTTTATCGGATATCAATTGGAACGAATTGCTTTCTAACTCTGACCCTGCTTATTGTTATAATGTTTTCAAATCAGCAGTATATGATATTTGCTTGAATAATATTCCAGTTGTTAAACCAAGACCTTATAAATTGCCTTGGTACACCAAGGGGCTGAGGAATCTGAAAAATTTAAGAAATAAGTTTTATAAGAAATATAAGAAGACACAGCATCAATCTTTTTATGATACCTATCTGCATTATGTGAAGGAATTCAATTGCTTGGATAAGTTCCTGTATAAAAAATATATTCTTAACTTTGAATCTAATATAAAGTCCAATCCCAAGGCATTTTGGACCTTCATTAAATCGAAGAAATCATGCTCGTCGATACCCTCTACGATTTTCTATAAAGATAAACACGTCAATTCCACTAAGGATGCTGCTAATTTGTTCGCTGATTTCTTCTATTCGAATTTTGTTTGTGACATTGATGTGTCCTGTGAGGACTTTACTTCGGATGTTAAATCCTTAATTAATCTTGGCACAATCTCACTTTCAGCAAGCGATATTGTTAATGGTATTTCTAAGCTCAAACCATCATCAAAGATGGACATTGATGGGCTCTCAGCAGTTTTCCTAAAAAGCTGCCCAGCAGTAGTTGCTCCTCTGGAAATAATTTTTAACAAGTCTTTATATTGCGGCGAGTTTATTGATGCCTGGAAGGTTGCTTCAATAGCTCCCATCTTCAAGAGTGGCAATAAGAGTGATGTCTGCAATTATAGACCTATATCTAAACTAACGAACATCTCGAAGCTTTTTGAGGGCATTATTAAAGATAAGATTTATTTCTCTGCAAAAAGTATAATCAGTCCCAATCAACATGGTTTTGTGGTTGGGCGTTCCACTGTTTCCAACTTAGCCGTTTTCAGTGAATTTTGTGTTTCCGCTTTTACTGCCGGAAGTCAAGTGGACTGCATATATACTGATTTCTCGAAAGCTTTTGATACAGTCTCCCACAAAATACTAATTCATAAACTTGCTTGTCTTGGGTTTCACTCAATTTTCTTGCAATGGCTTAAATCCTATTTATGCAAAAGGCAGTGCATAGTCAACATTGATGATGTGTCGTCTAATGCTTTTACTGCCACTTCAGGAGTTCCTCAGGGGAGCATTCTTGGTCCTCTACTCTTTACTTTGTTTATCAATGACATTACTTCGTGTTTTTCTCATGCTAGTTCTTTGCTATATGCCGATGACCTGAAGATCTACTCAGTGGTAAATAACAGGCTGGATATGCTGAAACTTCAATCGGATGTTGAGAATCTTCACTCATGGTGTATTAGATCGCATCTTTGCTTAATAATTAATAAATAAATGTTTTCATGTTAGTTATTCGAAATTGCGCACCCAATTTGAAAGTTCATACAGAATATCTAACTGTGTTTTACGCAGTGTTAATGAGATTAAGGACCTTGGGGTTATATTCGACTCTAAATTTACTTTTAATAATCATGTTAATTTCATTATTTCGAATTCTTATGCTATGCTTGGTTTCGTTCGGCGGAACTGTGCTGAATTTTCTGATCCTTATATGTGGAAATTGCTCTACACCTCATTTGTGCGTTCACATCTTGAGTATGCTACAATAATTTGGCGGCCTTTTCATCAGTTTAACATTGACAGGATTGAACGCGTTCAAAAGGTTTTCCTTAAATATGCTTTGCGATCTCTACATTTTACTGATCCCATCCCGTCATACAATTCTCGATTGCTTCTTTTAAATTTAAAATCTCTGGAAAGCAGGAGGTCTGTCCTCTCTTTAACTTTTGTTCTTAGCATTATTCAGGGTGTTCTTGACTGTCCGGCCCTTTTAGAGAAAATAAATTTTAATGTTCCGAGAAGGGAACTACGTAGTTACTATCCGTTTTATGGCAATAATAATAGAACTATCTATTCCCGTAATGCACCTCTTACCCGTGCGTTAATTGAACTTAACCAGATCTCAACTTTTATCGAGCTTGATTTTTCTTTACAAAGAAATATTTTTGTCAATATTTTGAACTCATTTTTTTAACTAATGTTGTATTTTTACTTGTGTAAGTAGCCTGTAAGAATTATTGTTCATAGGCTACACAATAAATAAATAAATAAATAAATTATTGAGTTTTATTTTTTCGCTCAAACGGAAATAATTAGTATTGATTTTTATTTGTGGGATTACAAATGATGATTATTTTATGATTTTTATTTTTTCGCGCAGAGATTATCATTAGTTTTCAGTTTAATTTTTCCACTTAAAAATAATGATAATTTATAAAATTGAATAGGCCATAAAGACGCAACCTACTGAAATTTTTACCTGAAAAGTTTGGGTCTTATTCCTTTTATAAGGGCGCGGCTACCTCTCAAAAGGATACGTCGGTAATCACGCTGGTATAGTTTTTGAGTTGCTTAATAATCATTATACTTAGTGATTCCATAAACAAAGGCCAAGATCCTGAAGGACAATTGAGAAAGGCAATGCAGTTGCCGAAAAAGAGGCATTTAAAAAAAAAGTGTCAAAATAATTAGCACTTTCTCACAAAATTTATTTAAAAATGCAAGCCACCAGAGCTACATTTTTTTTAAGAAAAGACAAATTAATTTTTTTTATGCAATCCACCACAGCTACCTTAATACAGTCAGTCAATAAAGTTTACGTACAACGAATTTTTTACAATACGGGCAACTATTTTTTTAATATTTTAGTTTTCGGTAATTTTTTATAATAATATGGTCAATTCTACAACAAAATCCCCAAAAATCAGAGTTCCAAAACTTGTGCAAAATTTAAGAAAATTCTGCAAAATTTCATTAAAATAATTCACTTTCTATTTACGCTCTCTAGAAAAAGTTTTTTAGCCCATTCAATTTTAGTATAATGAAGTGCAATTATGAGGAAGCTAGGACTTTCCAAACAACAAAAAAAAATGCTAAATATCAATGGTAAGTCCTAGCTACCTCAAACTTGCACTTTGTTATACTAAAATTGAATTGGCTAATAACTGAGTGCTTAACTTTTTTCTAAAGAGTGTAAATTGCAACACTTGGAGGGAAATCCGCAGAGTTTTCTTTAATTTTGCATAAGGTTTGGAACTCTTATTTTTGGGGTTTTTGGTGTAGAATTAACCATATTTTTATAAAAAATTAGGGGGAAAAAAATATTCAAAAAATAGTTGCCGGTATTGTAAAAACTTCACTGTACCTAAACTTTATTGACTGACTGTATATCTTATTTAATTAAGTACGACAAAGACTTTCGAAGTACTTCATATACAAATTTAGACAAGTAAGACAAAGTGAACTAATATTTTTACTTTTAAGCAGAACGCACTTTTGTTTTTTACTTACTACTTAAGTTTAATACTACTACTACTACTAATGTGGTTTATAAATTTTTAATAAATGCGTTTAAACATTTGTGATTGTATTGTCCTTCCTTCAACCGATCGTATTTAATATAGAAGGGAAATGTTTCGACAAGCCTGAGTAGAAATGTAGATCTAAGGTGACAAATTTATAACAGGTTGGGAACTACATATAAAAAATGGATGCAGATCG